ATAGTTTTTTTTTTTGGGTGATAAGTTCATAGCATTCATCCAATTCCTCCTATTACTATATTTTGTGTTCCAATGAAGGAAAATTCGATGAGAATTTTTAAAATGTCAGTCTGGAAAAATATTCCTTCGCTGAAGAGAGAGAGCACCGGCGGCAGAATGAGAAAGGCAAGAACGGGAAAGGCCCAGATGCTGCTTATTCCGGTCTTCTAGCCAATGCTAGGTGCCATTGCTACTTAGGGGCGGCACACGGCCTACGGGGCCCGATCCAGCAGAGACTGGTCTATGAACCGAGGGGTGAGGTTGGCCGATGTGCGTTGCCTCTACATTCCATTTTTACAAGAACCCCTCAACAAGCGATCAGGTTTGTCATTATTCCCATCAAAAGTGGTGCATTTGATCCTTTTTTGTTTTACATTTTTATATTTTTCATTATGGGTTTTGTCTAATTTTTTGGAATCCCTGATTATTATTTCCTATTACTTATTAAAGATTACTTTTTCCAGGTAATGTTTGTGTAATTTTACAACACTGTACTTTGTTGAATCCGTTAGATATGCTGCTATTTTGATTTTTTCAGGTGTTCTGTGGGAATTTGGGTGATACACATTGTATAGAAAAAAATAAATGTTGTGGTCAATGCAGGAAACTTTTGCTGAATACACAGCAATAATTGCTTTTGAGAGACCACTGTTGAGTGTTGTGGCTTATGCGCAAAGAATTCTTCTCTCCGAGAGAAAGAATTCGGGAGGCAGCACGGCTGGACCATTAGGACAATATCTTATCACTTATATCCATTTTTATTTCCATATGGTCAAGTTGGCTTGCATCAAGGCAATAAAAAAAGATCAAACCTAGAAAGTCACAACTAAATATTTAATAGCAATCTGTACCATTGTGAACAAACAACGTTAAGTGAGCATACAATGTTTGACACCATCAGGGAGTTGGCACACTTATTAAGCCAAAAATGTTCTTTATGAAAAATAAAGCATCAAGTTGTAACATCTATCGGTAAATGAAATAGTTGGGTCAAATTTTACCCAGTCAAATTTGGTTTTCATTATGGTAGTGAACATTTTAAAATCATGTGAACTTGTCTCAAATTTAAAAATAATGATAAAAAAATAACAATTGGAGGCTTACCCAGGCCATATTTGTTTTATATTCATTGCGATGTGTTTCTAATTAGTTGTTTTTAACTAGTGTGTATCCCGTGCGATGCACGGACAAGCTTTTTACTTAAAACCTTTTCTAAGACTTTATATTAAACATAGTTATTTATGTTTGACATCTCATTATTGTTAGAAAAGAAAAACCAAATAAAAAAAATTACATATTATTTATTTGAATACAATGAATGTCATCAACCAAACTAATAACATCCAATATAAACATATGATATATGATAAATTATATGATCGTCATACTTTTTGAAAAAAAAAATCATCAATTAAGTTGAACTATCTGAATATAAAAAATAATTTATGATATCATTGACCATATTTACCCGTTGTATTTAAGATATCGTTGACCATATTTTTAAGATTTACAAAATATCTTTTTCAAAATAGCATTTTTTTTAATTTGAATTTGACTTTTTCATCCATTTTTTTACAAAAAATAAAAAAATAAAAATAGTATTTTAAAAAATTTTAGACGAAAATCAAATAATTTTAAAACATATCAAAATTAATTTTGAATTATTTTATTTAAATAAGGAAAAACAATCGGATATGTTATTAAGATAAATGGAGTCTTTTTAAAACTCTTCAAAATCTGATTAATTCTGAATTATTTTATTTTAAATAAGTAAAAAAATGTTGGATATGTTATTAAGATAATGGAGTATTTTTAAAACATATCAATATTAATTTTGGAATAAATTTATTTAAATAAGGAAAAAAATCGGATATGTTATAAAAATAATCGAGTCTTTTCAAAATATATCAAAATTAATTTTGAATTATTTTATTTAAATAAGGAAAAAAAATCGGATATGTATGGGCCATATTGTTAAGAATCCACATTAAGTGGACCTGTTTAAAATTAATTTTGATTTTTTTTTAAATAAGGAAAAAAATCAGATATGTATGGACCATATTGTTAAGAATCTACATTAAGTGGAATTGTTTAAAATTAATTTTGAAATGAAAAAAAAAATCGGATTAAAAAAAATTAAAAGGAAAAAATTCAAAACGTGAAATTAAAATTAAAAACGTGAATTAAAATTAAAAAAATTAAAAATACAAAATTTACCAAATCTCAACCCATCAAAAAAAAGGAAAATCGAGTGAAATAAAACGTGAAAAAAAAGGAAAAGCGAGTGAATTAAAAATGTACCAAATCGGATTTTAAAAAAATGGTAACAAATCTCATCTCATCTCATCCTAAAGAAAAAGAATTATAACAAATTTAACAAAAAAACAACCAAATCTTATCCTAAAATAAAACAATCCGATTTCCATAAATCACATCCAAAATCAAATTAAGTTAGGCGGGATAAATGAAAAAAATTCAAAAAGAGTTTCCAAAACAGGTAATTTTCAAAAAATTTGAGAGGGAAAAAATGATGTTTAAGCGGAAAATGAAATATTTATTCGAACATTTTTCCTTCTCCGTATTATATAGTAATAGATGTTGATTTATTCAGACACCTAAAGATAGGGTGGCTTCAACAGAATTGCGTTTGTTGGTGGCTTTGGGCCTGGAACTTTTACTGTACATGCTTTATTTCATTGATCACAACTTTTAAGTATGAATTTTGTACCATTTCATCGAGAAAATTGCAAATTTGGTCCCAAAACTTTTGCTGTTTCCCACATTTAGTCCCAGGCACGTCAATTATAGTCCTTTTTGAATTTCCATTGCCAAATTGATCCCACGTCCGTCAATATTAACGGAGCTCGTGTGAGGACGTTAGATTGGACCAATTTTGCAATTCTGGGACCAATTTTGCAATTTTTCAAAAAAAAAAAAAATGAATTCTTCAAATTCTTCAAGTCTCTCTCATTCACTCAAAGCCGAAATGACATAATAAAATTAATTTACTATGAATATTATGTGAGAAATAAATATTAAAAATAATTTTATAAAAATAAATATCGGATGGAAAGACGTTGATAAATTTTAATTTTGGGTGGAAAAGTAAACGATATAATTGCTAATTGTGTAGTATTTATTTTATTTTCTAATATTTTTACCGTCATTACTTAAAAAAAATTAGCAATTATTTGAATATTATTTAAATTAAAGAATATTTAGAAATAATATTATTTTAATTAAATAAAGCAAACCAAGGACATAATCCAATTTATCAAAATAAGAAAAAATGTGAGTATGCTTACAATAATACTAATCCGTCTACACTTTTAAATATTAGTATAATGTGATAATTTATATATATATCTTTACAAACTTTATTAAATAATAAGAATTAAAAAAAACCTAATCTAAATAATTTTTTTTATATTGTCTATTTTTATTTTAATAATTTTTTATTTATCAATTTGATTTTGACAACTATAAATTATAAAAATCTATTTATTTATGCAAATTACATCTACATAAAAAATTTCAATTTTAAGCATAATGAAAAAAATTGGCAATAAATTAAGTGAAAATAGACATTTGCTCTCACTTATTTATAGTAAAATATATCATATACTTTTTTTTTTTTTGCATCTCATTTATCATGAACTAATTAATAAAATTATTTTATACACCTTTTGTTAAGTTACCCAATTAAATAATCATTTTATGTAAAAAAATAAAGTTAAACTTTAATTTAAGTTAAAAAAATGTGAAAGAATTGTATGTTAGTTATATTTATCCTTTATATTTATTAAAAAATAAACTAAATGTATTGTTAGGAAATAATGGTAATATACCTTTTAAACATTTACTAAAAAATTGTTAAAAAAATGTTTTTAATAAAAATAAATTTAAATAATTTTTATCACTTACTTTTTGAGAAAATTGCAAATTTGGTCCCAAAACTTTTGCTGTTTCCCACATTTGGTCCCAGGCTATACACGTTGACCGTTAAGTCTTGACGGAGTGGGACCATTTTGGCAACAAAAATTCAAAAAGGACCATAATTGGCGTGCCAGGGACCAAATATGGGAAACAGCAAAAGTTTTGGGACCAAATTTGCAATTTTCTCCATTTCATCGATCACAACTTTTAAGTATGAACTTATTTTGTAAGGGCAGTAATAATTTCTTTTTTTCCCATTTTCAAGGTAGTATTTTATAGTACATGCTTTCTTGGTTTCTTGCGGTTGTAACAGCTCAACATGAAAGGTGCAGAGATAAAGAACAACTACTTGGATTAAATTTGTTGAAGAGGTACTGGCTAAATCAACGGACATTAAGATACTTTGCTAGCTATTATACAAAATGTTACTTCTATATAATGTTTGGCGAAACATGAGAGGTTATGGTTAAGTTGTTTCTATATGGTGTTTGGTTGAACATGCATATGGCTATGATGCTAATGCTAGGACGAGAAAAGAAAACATTTATTGTTTAATATATATTTAATTATTTATCATTCATAGGTGATTATTAATTATGCATTTTTCATTATGAACTTTATACGCAATGTGGTCTACAGGAAGCCAACAAAAAAACAACCAAAAATGATTAACAAAGAACCCAAACCACAAACTACTTTAATGCTCAGGCATGGTAAAGCAAAAAAATAACTCATTTTGTGATTATTGTGAGATATTATTGAACATGATATTATGGTCCAATTTGTTGAAAAATTATATAAAATTCGTGTGGGAATGTATGATATTATACAAATTCACATGTTATTATACTTATTTTCTTCCTATATTAACAGGCATAATATATGTAAATAGCTACAACAACTGTCCAAATATGAGCTGTAACAATTGCCACAAAAACTGTGTAATGAGACCTTTATGGTCCAAGATTATTTTCTTAACAAGCAGTGTACAAATTGGCAATGGATTCCAATGCTCATTACAAGTGATGACAAATTTTCACTATATTTTTAGACTAAATTTGAGTCCGCCGTACAGTTATATATATATATAGATATAACTTTTTGGTTCTAACATGATATAACACTTTTTGGAAGTAACATTATTTTCTATTGCGGGTAGTAGTAACATTTCATATTTTATTTACATGTGGTTGGATGAGATAGTAATGAAGTTATTATTACATTTATATCTTTAAAAGGTAAATCTCTAGAGGTTAATATGGGCATTTCAAATTTTTCAAGAAATGACTCATCTTTTAAGATAGTTATAGATATAGATTATAGATAGATTATAGATGAGACTAAGTACAAAATATTTATATTTTCCACATTATGCACATACAAATAAAATTATAAGCCTATTAAACTCCAAACCAATCAGAATATATTCTCCTCCCTTTTTTAATTGTACAAGTTATTTGACTATATATTTGGCTAAAGTATTTCTAAGTGTTGAATAAAACAGACGTTTTGCAAAATTAATTAAGAAGAATTTTGCAATACTATTGATGTATTAGAATTCAACGAGTATGAATGTTTCTTATGAGAACATCAAAACCAAAATAAAAGAAAATGACTTTTGAATCTAACATAAATAAATAAATAAACTCATGCATCTATAGTATACATTATGTCTTTATTTAGTCATTTATTGTTTTTTCATTAAGAACTCATTTTTCATATATTTTTGTTGGTGTTGTAATATGATATTTAAATCTTTTTATATTACGACACTATTTTTTTATTTAAAATAAAATGCATGAAAAGTTTATTTATTCTACATTTTATTTTGTTCTTGCAGTCATATATTTAATAAATTAATTAATTTATCTTATCCTAAACAGAGATGGGGAAAGCCTATTGGTCCAAGGTTTCTGACTATCAGATCGAAGAGGCGCTTTAAAGAGCCAGTCCAAATACTATGTTTGATAGAGCCAGTCCTTTCTTCTCTTATAAATCGGTAAAAAATATTCGTAGCCACGTGCATCGCGGAGGCTCTCTTTTCGTAGTTGGGTCTGATAGCATAGCCCAACTCTAATCTGAAGTTCCACTTCCCCAAGGCATTCCTCTTGTTCCTCTAATATCTTCTTTGCAGAAAGCACGGCTGAGTCGGAACAACCATCCAAGTAGATCTCCCTAAGCGTGCTTATATCCCCAATTTCCAATGGAATCTCATTCAGCTTATCTAGATACCGCAGGTCGAGCCGCTCGAGGCTGGGGAAGTGCGTGGCGTCTGCCCTCCACTGTTCCAGACTGCTGAGTTGTCGATTTGCAAGTATTTCAGGCTCGGGAATCCACCCACGGCTGTTTCCCACTCGGGCCCCACGAACGCGTTATTATTTAGCTTGAGGACCTCGAGATATAGCAACGACCCTATCTTTGTCCCCATCTTCTCCCACCCCAGCCGCATGCCTTCCAGAGTCAGCTTCCTGAGCGTAATCGGGAACGACGTCACCTCAATTCGTTGAGAGAGTAATGAATTCCATGAAATTGAAAGGCACTCCAGCTTGCGTAGCCTACAGAGATTGTCGAGACCATAATCACCCGGTGATAATTCCTCTTTCTCCATGAATGTTATTCCGAGCTTCTTGATATTGTGGATTCTCTCAACCACTTCCTCACTGCACTTGAAGTTATCTACTTTCTTGAGCGTCTCTAGCTTCTCCAACACCCCATCATTTTCTTCAGGAGGATCCGTGAGCCGGAGTCTCTCTACATTGACGTGCCTGAGTTGGGGCATCCGCCAGATGTCCATCACCCACCACTCAAACCTGTTCACAAATATTAACGTCCGTAGATTCCAGAGTCGGTAAAATACTTCCATAGGCAAATGCAAAATAAACGCACTGGCGGCATGCAGGTGGCACAAGTTGACAGGTCCAAAATAATCTGCACCGTAGGTAAAATGTGAGTTATCTATTCCTTTGAGAACCCTAAGCAATCTAAAAGAAGCTATAAGTGGTACACATCCCCTGACTTTCAATATCAGAGTTCGTGCGCGTGATGCGGATCGCAAATCTTCAGGGAGTGGATGGGGAATTTGATAAAACTTTGATCCAGTTTCGTGAATGCCGATACGGCGTTGGTTGCACCAGCTTTTGTCGTGGACATTATTAAGGTTTTGTGTCGTGCGGAAGAATTTGTATTTCTCGGCTACCTTTATGCAGAGGTCTCTCAGCAGATCGTGGATGGCACACCGTTTTATTCTTTGAGTAGGGCCTAACTCACGAACCAAGATTAGGTTTCTGATGAGGAGACCATGTAGGTACACCTCTCTTGCAATTGATTCCAAGCTTTTACCGGCCACCGGTTTCACGAATCCTTCATCAACCCATAGTTTGATGAGCGTGGGGACGTGAATACTGTGGTCCTCCGGGAACATGCCCATGTAGAGAAAACACGGCTTCAGGTGGACCGGCAGTTGATTGTAGCTCAACTTTAGTATTCTAAAGCAACGCTCGTCCTCCTCTAAATTCACAATTGAGCTTAAATTTTGTAAAACGTGTTGCCAGTTTTCCCGTGTTTGTTTGGACTTTGCTAGGAGTCCTCCGATCACGACAATTGACAATGGAAGGCCTCCGCAGTTCTTGGCAATGTCCTTCCCAATCTCTTCCAATTCCGGCGGGCACCCTTGTTCCTCAAAAACACACCTACGCAGCAGTTTCCAGCTTTTTTCAGAATTCAGAAAACTCATCTGAAAATAATCTGGGCTATCCAGCTGCAAAGCAACTTCCAATAGCCTAGTGGTTATCAATACTCTGCTCCCGTTGTTGTTATCTGGAAAGAAGGATTTCACCTTATGCCATGCGTCTGTAACCCAAATGTCATCCATCACGATAAGATAACGGCGGCCAAATAACCTTTTATGCAGTGTTACTCCTAATTCATGTTCACTCATTCGGTCAGAGTGTTCCCCACTCCCAATAGTTTTACAACAATGAAGGACTTGTAACAGAATCCCTTTGGAATCAAATTCTTGAGAGATTGTAGCCCAACCGCGAATATCAAATTGTTCCACAATAAGTGGATGTTCGTAAATACTTTTTGCAAGAGTGGTCTTACCAATGCCACCCATGCCTGCAATTGCAATGATCTGACGGCTGGATTGTTGACCGGTCAGCTTGTCCATGACGTCGTACATGACATCATCGGAACCCACCATTGTGCCGTCCCCCTTGGAAGAAGGACCGTTCAGCTTATCCATGATGTCGTTCATGACATCATCGGAACCCACCACGGTGTCATCTTCCCTGCAAGGAGTAATATTTTCTTGTCTCGTCTTCTTATCTTTAATAGCAACCACGTCTTTTGTGATGGAATCCAAGTCGCGCATCACTTTCTGTAACTCTCCATAAAAAAAATCGTCATCGTTCGAGCTGATGTTAGCTTCCCCACGAGCCGTAATTTGATCGGCAATATAGGACTCTATTATATCCTCTGCTTTGTGAGCTGAATCGGCCATACGCCCCACCAAGCAATCTGCATCATCAATGGCATAGTTTTCGAGAAAATGCAGCAAATAAGTAACCATTTCTATAAGAGATTTGATTTGTAATTTGTCGAAGGTGATGGGAGGGCGAGGGTGATTTTGGATCTGATCTATGGTGTGCGCAAGAGAAAGCAGAGCAACATAAGCTTCCATGGATCTGCTTTGTTGAAATGAAATGAAATCCAATCTGCTTTAGTTTGGAAGAGTGTATGATGAGAAGTGAAAGTAGGAAGATTTTTCTTCAAGACTTGTGGTGGAGAAGCAGCAGAAGAGAAATGTAAATGATAGATTAGGTACAAGGTCAGTTTCAAGTTGGGACCAGGTATTGAGCTGCCCATCTTGTCTTGACCAATAATTTCACATAACCAATAATTCTGCTCATGTAAGAATTCTATTTTCATCTACTTAGCCTTTGTGATCAGGCCGATTAGTACTAAACCATTCGCTTTTGATTTCATCCCAGCCATTTCTCTGTTATATTTTACTTTCAATTGTCCGTGAATAAATCACACATGCTTTATATGTGATGCTAGATGATATTTTCCATAATGAAATATTTATTTCTTTGGGGAAATTCAACTTCTTGTTCGGTCCTTAGGTATTGAGATCATATTCAATAATGTAAATAATTTTATCTACATTTATGCATTGGTAAGTTTAAGGACCCAAGTTAATAATTGATTGCTAAAAACTACCTTGTCCATTTAATACCAACTGATAGTGGATGAATGACATACTTCGTTAAAGTACTTAAAAATCTAAACAACTATGTTAATTTTTATGCAGTGATTAGTTTAATCTCCATGGCTTATAGTGGATAAATGGGCATACTTCACTAAAGTTATTAACAATCTAAATGATTTTGTTAATTTTTATGCAGTTAAGAGCTTTGGGTTCAATGATAAAAAATTATATGGCACGTAAGAAATAAACTCAATTTAAAAAAATGTATTGTCCAATGCAAATAAAAGTAGGCTGGGTCTGCTGATGTGGCAGCCATAAAAAGAGACGCAGTCTATCCTTAAGTCTATTCAGCCAGAAAAAGAGACGCGGTCTATCCTTAAGTCTATTTTAGACCCAAGTAGAGACCTAGTCTCTTTGCATTGAAGTGAATTTTATTAATTTCACATAGTTTTATCCATGTCATCACAGACTTTAGTTTATTTACATGCCACATAGATAAGACTAGACCTAATGCATTGTAGATGCTATCCGTAACTGTAGTCGATTGCTGCTGCTATTTGTTTGCATTGATTAGTTACTGTGTAAATTTTTGTACCTCATTACCTGGTGGTAGTGTTATTGAGTCTCAAGGTAACTTTGTGCAGCCCATCATAGTTGAGATTTCTCCTTCTGATGTGGCTGTGAAGAAAGAGTTGTTTGGTCCTCTTCTTTACATAATTAGGAAAATGCACATGTTACACACGTGATATTGTTGTTTTTTTACTTAAATTATTTTTATTATTAAACTTAATTTAATAGTATAAAATATTTTTCTTTCCATTATTTAACAAAAAAATGTGTATTTTATCATCAAATATAATATTTAATACTATTAATTGAAGTTACTGAACTCTATGACAAATAAAATTAAATAAAACAAATATTGGTTAGAAAATCTAAAATAAAATTAATATTTTTTTGTGAAATTTTAAATGCTAAAGAAATCTATGTCATCCTTGATTTTGTTATTTAATGATATTATGCTTGAAATAATGATCATTATGTTAGTGTTATATACTGAAAGCTTGGCTTTGCATGTTATTACACATTTACCCTTTATGAATGAGAATCATGTTAGATTAAACAAGTTCTACGTTCTGTTGTTCTGCACTTAGATAGGGTGGGTCGTCATCGGGCGAACCGAAGATCACTCTGTCAGTCACTTGCGAACAAGAATAGTTGTTCACAACCTAGATGGACATGAACACCCCATCCGAACGGTTGTAGTGTCAACTGTACAGTTTGTCTTGACTGATTAGTTGCACTAGTACATTTATGTATTGAACAGGATCCCAGAGAGGAGAAGTTCATTTTATACTGATCGTCGTAAATGAACTAGGCCTCGGTTAATTACTGCGTTCTCTTAACCCGTAAGATATTAAACAGGCAGATATATATAATATATATTACTTTGATTCACATGGGTGAGGTTCAGTTCGCTGGATTAATATTCCTACTGTTTTGGGTAATATTATTATATATAGGATGTGCTGTTAGGATATTTACGGTCACCATGTGCGTTAGTTTGATGATGTCCCCGGAGTGAGTTCATGAAGGATTGTTATGCTAAACCCTGCAGGTGGATTAAATTCCGGCATAATAAGAATGTGATGAACGAGCGCTAGCTTCGGTGAAATAATAATAAATTAATTAATTCTTGATTGTCAGTAATCGAATTAATTAATGGACATTATATCTTAAACGTGGGGAGGTAAATCGAGTAATTATTATTGGAGTCTCAAATGTAATTTGGGCTAGGGAAAGGGAGTGCAATAATATAATGTTGGTGGCCCATTAATATTATTTAATTAATTAGAGGAGTGGGTTTGGCCCACAGTTAGTCTAATTAATTAAGGAGCCCTTTTCCTAATCTCCTTAGGGTCCCTACTGTAGCTCTATATATACATCATTAAGCTCATGAGAAGAGAACAAAATTCATTCTCACGTGAAACACGCCTCTCTCTCTAGATCTCATTCGAGCTTTATCTTCTTCTTGTTGCTCCACTGGTACAAGTTTGCTCCACTGGTACAAGTTGAAGAAGGGTGTATTGAGTAATACAGTAGAAGATCTGTAGGTAAACCGAGACGAAATTGATTTTGACCTACAGAACTAACCGGAAGTCCGATTGAGACGTACAGTATACCCAGACGACCGTCTCGACGAGAGCTTTCCATCGCCGCCGACGTCGCCGGAATCCGACGTCGCACGCGCCCTCACGCGCCGCCGGAAGGTGTCTGGCAGCAAAATTTCGTTTTGATCTGTTTGCATCCGTTTGATCCGATTTTGATCTGATCTTGTTCCTGCAACCCAGTGTTGCGGTCAATCAATTGCGGTCAACCGTTCGTGGTCAACCAGATCTACATAAATTTTAAGCCGTAAGTCGTCAAACCTTTAGATCCGCTGCGCATAGGTTTACGTTTGCTATTGAATTCGTGATTTGTACATAACGAGATCCTCACAGATCCCAGCACATTATTATTGTCAAAATAATAGGTGTTATAATGTCTTCCTTTTGCGTCATAGTCTTTGAAAAATAACTCGAATTTACTATAACTATAATTCGTTATTATAATTTGTTTATGGTTGATTGGAAGCTAACTCACTATGGTCGAATGTTTTGATCTCTATTATCTTGATTATAACAATTACAAATTCTCAATTATATTTGCACGTGTAATATTTCATAATATTGAGATATTTTATAATGTCTTCCTTTTGTGTCATACTCTTTGAAAAATAACTCAAATTTATTCTATAATTTGTAATTATCATTTGTTTATTGTTGATTGGAAGCTAATCCACTATGGTTGGATGTTTCGTTCTCTATTATGATCTTGATTATAACAGTTGCAAATTCAATTTTATTGCACGTGTAATATTTCATAATATTGAGATATATATTTTCTCTTTGTATATAATGACTATATATATATATATATATATATATATATATATATTTGAAAATTTCTTTAAAATTAAAATTATTTAAAATATAAAATTTAATTATTACGAACAATAACATCCTTGACTGATTAAAGGTACTCATCTATTCATATATATTATCGTAACATTGGTTGATTGAAGGCACCTATCTGTATACAAGCCGCATCGACCATACGCCCCTCCAAGCCATCTTCATCATCTATGGTATAATTTTCGAGAAAATGCAGCAAAAAAGCAATTATTTCTATCAGTGGTTTGATTTGTAGTTTGTCGAGAGAGATGGGAATTGGGAAGACGGGGTTGATTCTGGATTTGGTGTATGGTGTTCATAAGAGAAAGAAGAGCTCCATAAGCTGCCGTGAATCCCCTGTTGATGGAGTGAAATCCAATCAGCTTTAATTAGGAAAAGTATATGAAGAACACTGACAGAATTGAGAAAAAAGACAACTGAAACTAGCTAATATTATTGCAAAGCTTTTCTCCAGTTGGGAACACCAGTAAGTGGGTGAGCCGAACTTCTTGACCAACAAATCCTAAAGGGAAAAATAAATCATGCATGTAAAAATGTGTACCCACTAGCTTTATATGACCTTACAATTCTGTATATCTAAAGTATGAAGAAATAATGAAAATAAAAAAATCATGTTGTTTTGAAACCTTTTTAGTCGGCTGAGCAGGAGTAGACGCTTGGAGAATTTTAAAAATTACCAATAAAAGTACCCTACAACATAAGCTATGCCAAGTTAAAGCAATTATGTCTCTCTCTTTTCAGAAACTGGTGATGAAGGAGAGTTAATGAATTTTTTTTCATGATATTGCCTCATTAGCCCAAAGTTTACATCCAGGAGATGTTCCCTGGGCCCTAACACTTCCGATATAACCTCTCTTTCTCATTCCTGTTAAATCGTGTGAGTAACCTGTCGGAACGCTTCATGCCTCTTTGGTATTGTTATTTATGATCAAAACGTGGTTTTTATTTTATTAAGATAGCAAAATGCACCCAAGGCATTTGAGGTTCAAATTCAGAGCATGTGAAAATGACCACTTGTTAGATCTAAAAGCTAACTTGTTCGTTTAACACCACCTGATAGTGGTGGACACAAGTCAATAATTGATTGCTAAAAACTAACTTGGTCATTTAACACCAACTGATAGTGGATATATGACATACTTCATTTAGGTACTTAAAAATCTAAAAAACTATGTTAATTTTTATGCATTGATTAGTTTAATCTTCATAGCTGATAGTGTATAAGTGACATACTCCACTAAAGTAATTAACAATCTAAATGATTTTGTTAATTTTTATGCATTGATCAGTGAAGCTCCTTAGTTGTAGTCGGTTGCTGCTACTGTTTGTATGCATTGATCAGTTTAGCAGATAATTTCTATTTTCTTTTTTGGTTGTAAACAGGTCGAAAACATGGAGCACAGCTGTTGTAAATATTTCATAAAGTTATGAAATAAATGTGATCGACCCCCTATGAAAGTCCTGTTTTCAAATTATTGTTAATCTGTTAACAAATGTGCTCATATGTTGACTTTACAATACCGATTGAGAATACAATGGGAAAAATAACTTTGCCCATACGAAAACGTTAGAATATTATGTTCGAGCATTAGAACGATATTCATTCTTACCACCAGCCTCGTTTCCAAGTTCAGTAAACTGTAAAGTTTTGACTCCTCAACTTTTCTTCCTGTAGTTGGGTGTTATGAAACCTTAGCAAACCTTTAATCTTAAGGGCCACTTTCCCATGGCACTCCTCTTGTTCCTGTAATATCTTCTTTGCAGAAAGCACGGCAGAGTCCGTGCAATCAAACAAAACGATCTCTCTAAGCGAGCTTATATCCCCAATTTCCAATGGAATCTCTCTGAGACACGGCAAGTGCGTGGCCTCTGCCCTCCACTGTTCAAGGTCACCAGAAAATCAGGAAAAATTAAGAACAAAAAATGCAAATTTAAGTTGAAGAGAACTTACTCATGGTAGTAGGTCGGAGAGAACGCCGGAAAACTGGAATTGCAGGTCGCCGATATCAATTGCAGAAAGCACGAGAACAAGAGTTAGGGTGTAAGTATCTCGAAAATTGAGGTACATGAATATGGATGAAACTGAAATAAAGGGTACATGCCTGCAACTGAAATACTTCACATCAATTTCTTCCATAATCAATTTCACATTAATTAAGCATAAACATAAACCAGAGGTACATGAAACTGGAATTAGTAATGGAACTTGTAATAGTTCTTTTGTGGAAACGTTGCAGTGTGTTTCAAGCAGGTGTCAAATTAGCTTTACCCAGGTGTTACCTATTTGCCAGTGATTTGGTAAAAAAAATATGTTGCGGGTTACATGCATTATGTGCTTGTTCTTTTTTTAAGTTTTTCCAGAAAAATGGAATTTGGACAGAGAAATTCGCTTGCATGTAACTATTTTTATTTCATTAATAGTGTTTTGTTCAGCTTTTAAAATTTTTCTTGTTTATACAAATGAACAGGGATCCACAAGAACCCAATATCATGTCAAATAGTCTTTGACAATTACATCATGCCGTTTTCTATCACGATGTATATAGCATCTCTCACTTGTAAACCCACCATGAAGACTTTTTTCTTTGACCAACATTGTCGAAACTATTAAAGGGACATGAAGTAGACATGTTTGAACCAAATTCATATCTATTTCTGTATCCAAAGTATCATCTCATGTAGGCTCATCCAATAGTTTTTTTAGTTAACGAAAGTTCGCAATCACTGCATGATGTACTATTGGAGTCTGAATCATAACCGAAATTTGCCATTTATTCCTTGTTAACCTGTTAAAGAAAAAAAAAGTCTCATAGAAGTTATCAACAATATTAATCTATAGAATATAACTAATTATGTTAATTTTGTGGTAATCAAACATAATTGATCAAATAAAACAAACCCATTGCATATTACACGCAACTGGATAAAAAATTAGTACAAAATGATAATGTCTCATCAAAACATACACACCACTAGATAAGAATTATAGAAGAATGATCCAAAATTACACACACCACAAGATAAATAATTATAGAAGTGTGATAAAAAATTGAAAGTGGAAGGTGAGATGCAATGTTACCTGTGCAACTCAATCTTGAAATTGGAAGGCTTGAGCAGGTAGGCACGCCGCCAAGCTTTTCTGTATTTATTTTCTTAGTAAATTTTTTATGTTATGCATCGTGTTTAGAAGATTTATAATTTGTCTTTATACAAAAAGAGGGGCCCAAAATTTGGACTTATTGAAAATGTAAGCCCAAAATAAATAAAAAAATTCAAAAGTCCACACTATTTAGGAGTTGTTCACATTGTGCATTTAGCAACACTTGATATTTTAGAAGTTGTAGACTCAACATCATTTATTTAATTGACACATGACAATATTAATTAATCCACAACATTACACATTGGAGATGCTCTAATGGATGGATGCATCCAAATTAATGGTCACGTGCCATTTAAACGGAACAAATAAGAGTATCTTCAATGGAATGTTGTCCATTTTGTGATCTATGTCATGGAAAAAAGAAATTAAAAAATTATGTCTTTAATGGCTAATGTCTTGTGGTGTCATTTATGAAGTGTAAAATTATAATTGATTGTAAGAGAGATAAATTGAACAAATAATATAATATATAATAAAAGTTGTTAAGAATGACTTCTATATCTAGAAAGTCTTATAGAAATTTTCTATGCTACGTAAAATTATTCGTGATATGTGGTAAGAAAATGGAGAAATGGAAGAATCATTGAAGATGTTCTAAATGCCGGGTTGCGGATGCTCTCAGAAAAATGTAAGTTTCGACTCCTCAAGCTCTCTTTTCGTAGTTGGGTCTCATTGTGTAGGCTAACTCTAATCTGAAGTTCCACTTCCCCATAACACTCCTCTTGTTCCTCTAATATCTTCCTTGCAGAAAGGACGACTGAGTCCGAACAATTCCACACCCTAATCTCCCTAAGCGTGGTTATTTCCCCAATTCCTAATGGGATCTCCTTCAGATTGTTTAGACCCTGTAGTTGAAGCCGCTCGAGTCGCGGGAAGTGCGTGGCCTCCGCCCTCCACCTTTCCAATTCCCGGCACCGCTCGATTTTCAAGTATTTCAGGCTCGGGAATCCGCCCTCTGCACTTTCCCATTCGGGCCCCACGAACGCATTCTCGTATAGCTTGAGGGCCTCGAGATATGGCAACGACCCTATCTTTCTCCCCATCTCCTCCCACCTCAGGTACGTGCCTTCCAGATCCAGCTTCCTGAGCGAAACAGGGAACAACGTCACCTCAATTCTTCGAGAGAGTGATGAAGCGCATGAAATTGAAAGGCACTCCAACTTGCGTAGCCTACAGAGATTGTTGAGACCATAATCAGCGGGTGATAATTTCTCCTCCTCGTATCGTATTCCCAACTTGTTGATATTGGGGATTCTCTCAACCACTATTTCAGTCAACCTCAAGTCATGTACGGTCTGGAGTGTCTCTAGCTTCTCCAACACCATCCAACTATTTTGTTCATTCATTGGAAGAGGAGGAGGATCCTTGAGCTGGAAATTGTATACCTTGATGTGCCTGAGTTGGGGCATCCGCCAGATGTCCAGCAACAACCAGGTAACGGTCACGTCAACTATTAACGTCCGTAGATTCCAGAGTCGGTAAAATTCTGCAATAGGAAGTTCAATCCATCGGGCAGCCAGGTGGCACAAGTTGACAGGGAGAAAATATTCTTGTCCAGAATATGGATCCTCCTTAACATATGATTTATCTAATACTTTCAGAACCCTAAGCAATCTAAAAGAAGCTGTAGATGGTATATATCCATTGACATTCAGTATCAGAGTTCGCGCTTGTGATGCGGATTGCACAGAGAGTGGAGGGGGAATGTTATACCACTCTGATGTGCCTTGGTGAATGCCGATACGGCGGCTCTTGTCGTGGACATTATTAAGGTTTTGTGTCGTGCGGAAGAATTTGTTTTTCTCGGCTTCCTTTATGCATAGGTCTCTCAGCAGATCGTGGATGGCACACCGTTTTACTCTTCGAGTATAGCCCCACTCGCGAACCAAGATTAGGTTTCTGATGACGAGACCATGTAGGTACACTTCTCTCGCAATTGATTCCAAGCTTTTACCGGCCACCGGTTTCACGAATCCTTCATCAACCCATAGTTTGATGAGTGTGGGGACGTGAATTATGTGGTCCTCCATCATGTACAGAAAACACGGCTTCAGGTGGACCGGCAGTTGATTGTAGCTCAACTGCAGAATTCTAAAGCAATGCTTGTCTTCCTCTAAATTCACGATCGAGCTTAAATTTTCTAAAACATGTTGCCAGTTTTCACGTGTCTGTTCAGACTTTGCTAGGAGTCCTCCGACCACGACAATTGACAATGGAAGGCCTCCGCAGTTCCCCGCAATGACCTTCCCAATGTCTTCCAATTCCGGTGGCCACTCTTGTTCCCCAAAAACGCATCTACAAAGTAGTTTCCAACTTTTTTCAGGATTCAGAAAAGGCATTTGAAAGTAATCCGGCCCATCCAGCTGTGAAGCCACATTCAATAGCCTAGTGCTTATCAATACTTTGCTCCCATTGTTGTTTTCCGGAAAGAAGGGCTTCACCTTGTCCCACACGTTTGTACCCCAGATGTCATCCATCACAATCAGATATCGCCGGCCGAATAAGATTTTATATAGTGTGTCTCCTAATTCATGTTCGCTCATTTGGACGAACTCGTCTCCATTGCCAATGGTTTTCAAACAGTCAAAAACTTGTAACAAAATCCTTTTCGAATCAAATTCTTGAGAAATTGTTGCCCATCCACGAATATCAAACTGTTCCACAATTAGTGGATTTTCGTAAATTCTTTTAGCAAGAGTGGTCTTACCAATACCGCCCATGCCAGTAATCGCGATGATCCGACGATTGGATTGTTGATCGGTCAGCCTATTTATGACGTCGTACATGACATCATCGGAACCCACCATCGTATCGTCCCCCTCGGAGTTCAGTTTATGCTTATCCATGAGGTTGTTCATGACATCATCTGAACCCAATGTGGCGTCATCCTCCATGCAAGAAGGAGCATTTTTTTTGCCCGCCTTCTCTTTAACAGCAGCCACGTCTTTTGTGATGGAATCCAAGTCGGGCATCACTTTCTGTAGCTCTCCATACAAAGAGTTGTCTTCCCCGACAATGTGGGATTCGTTTATATCCTCTGTCTCGTGAGCCGCATCTGATTCCTCCATCATTTTCTGTATGTATCGAAACAAAGAGACTTCATATTCGTCCTCAAAATGGTCGGCAATGTGGGACTCTATTATATCCTCTGCTTTGTGAGCCACTTCGGCCATACGCCCCACCAAGCCATCTGCATCATCAATGGAATAGTTTTGGAGAAAATGCAGCAAATGAGTAACCATTTCTATAAGAGATTTGATTTGTAGTTTGTGGAAGGAGATGGGAGGGCGAGGGTGATTTTGGATTTGATCTATGGTGTGCGCAAGAGAAAGCAGAGCAGCATAAGCTTCCATGGATCCGCTTTGGTGAAATGAAATCCAATCTGCTTTAGTTTGGAAGAATGTATGATGAGAACTAAGGCAGGAAATTCTTTTCTGAACTGTTTGTGGTGAAGAAAAAGAAAAACAAGACTTGTATATATCATATGAGCTGTGAAACAACTAGTTGCAATATTGTTGCAAAACGTTGACTTCCAATTGGGACCACTAATTAAATTTAACTTAAATCGTCACAGGTTTTTGTCATACTTTAAAAAAACGGTTTGAAATGTTATATATATTAATATTTTATTTTTAAACATTGTTGACATCTTATTAGTTTTAACTAGTTGTTATAATATAAGACGAGAATGTCAATACAATTATTATAATACCAACTGTTGTAATAATAAGAGTTAGTTTTGAGTTCTAATTAATTAACTTATCATTTCAATTATTTATCGTTTTAATCTATTAAATTTTCCAATCAAGCTGACAATAGAATGCAAACAATAAATATTTAAACTAAAAGATATTGGAAAAAATAAAATATGAAAAAAAAAATACTTTTAAGATAGTAGTGTATAAATATATATATATATATATATATATATATTAATATTGGTGAGATTAGGAAATATAGGGAAATACTAAGGTCTCGTTACGGTACCATCCCGTCGGTAGTTTTAACCGTTGGATGCAAATGTAATTAATATAAAATAGATGATTCAACGGTTAAAACATCCAACGGGATGGTACCGTAACAGGACCATAGCATTCCCCAGAAAATATATATTAAAATATATATGAGTTTTAACTGGTCATTATGTAAAGGTTGTTTCGTTTGTCGGGTATAACTGGTCAATTTTTGTCCATTTTAATGTAAAATAATGAACTATTTGGAAATGTTATTTAAGTAAATAATTAGTATGTTATAGTTTTTAAAGTTGAGTGGTATTAAGAAATATTATTCAATTAAATAATTCTTAATTTAGTAGTTTTAAAATTGAGAGGTTTAATTTAAAAAAAAAAACCTAATTTGAAGGTTTCTAAAACATTTAAAAAAAAATCTTCTATAATCGTTATATAGTTTATCAGATTTAAATATTTAGATAATGATATTATTGAAAGATTGATAAAAAAGATATAAAAGGATGAGCATTAAATATTTTTCGCATAAAATAAACAATAGATATTAAAGAATTGAATGATTTAAACATTCTGATAAGAAATAAAAATCCAGATTTTCAGACATTACATCATGCATGATGATTCATGAGATAATGAAAATCTTATTAATTACCAAAAATAGACACATATATTAATTTAATAATCGAATTTCAAAGTTAAATATATTGACCATAATAGGATTTTCAATTTTTTTCGAAAAATGTTTTCAATTTTATAAAAACAAAAATTTTAGGCAGAAATTTAATTGTTATGTTGGGTAAATTATTTAAATTTTTATATGTTGCTGGATAGCAATCCGATGACTTTATAGATAATTTTTTGAATCGATATATAATTTTATTAATTTTCAATTTGAATTAATAAATAATTTAATTCATATAATAGTTATTTATTTATTTTGCGTATGTAATATGATTAATTTGAGATATATATATACTAATAATAGATAAAAAATTATTAATATTTAAATATATTTATAATTTAAGTTAGTTAACTATAAAAATAAATTTTTTAGAAGTTTCTAGGTGTACTACTCCAAAGCATATGGACTTAATTAATTAAGCACCCGAATTAAAATTGATACATTAGTTTGATAAGCCCTATATATAGAAGGATATATACATGGAGGGAAGAACATTGTCTTGGGTAAAATGGAGTTGGAGTTTGACTTGGAGACGCTCTCAATCTAAAAAGAGAATCTGAAAATCACACGTACATAAATATAAATACACACATCGATTCCATGNCTAAACAATCTCCACAACTTATTAGGATTAGGAGCTCTCTCTCTCCCATCTCACAACTCCTCTATAAAATCCCACTTCTTATCAATCCCTCCTTCAAAACACTTTCTCCAAACACACACACACACACACAAAAAGAAGAACGAAAAAAGAAAAGGCAATAAAAAAAATCTCCGATGGCCTCCTTTGAAATGGAGGCTCCCCCACACCACCCGAAAACCGCCGACGAAGATGAGTGGTCCGACTCACCGGTGGAGCAGGTCCGTCTGACAGTCCCCAACGATGATGACCCGACCCTACCCGTCTGGACTTTCCGCATGTGGTTCCTGGGGCTTCTCTCTTGCGTGCTCCTCTCCTTTCTCAACACCTTCTTCAGCTACCGTACGGAGCCACTCTCCATAACCATGATCTCCGTACAGGTGGCCACTCTCCCCATCGGACGGTTCATGGCCGCCGTGCTCCCTAAAAGGAAGTTTAAGTTGTTCGGTTTGTGGGAATTCACGCTGAACCCGGGCCCGTTTAACATGAAAGAGCACGTGCTTATCTCGATTTTCGCAAACGCCGGCTCTGGCACGGCTTATGCTGTCGGAATTGTCAACATCATCAAGGCGATTTACCGGAGAAAAATATCCTTTGTCGCAAGTTGGATTCTTGTTATCACTACTCAGGTTTTCTTTCTTTTTTTCATTTTATTTATTTTAGTTATTTTAACAATTTACATAGTTATTTTGTCAAAACATAATATTGATTAAATTTAAATCTAATTTCTGAATCATATGTTTATGTATTCTTTTTCTTTTTCGAATGATGCTTAGAGAATCGAGATTTTTTTTTTGGTAGATTATAGTTATGAGATTGACACAATTAGAATAGTTAGATAGTCTAGTTAGAGAATCGAGATTTTGTTGGTATACAAAAGTTATGAGATTTATAAAATTAGAATAAATAGATAGTTAGAATGACAAATATATAATTGGAACTTAGAGAATCGAGATTTTTTTTGGTATTTTAAAGTTATGAGATTGATACAATTAGAATAAGTAGATATATAGTCTAGAATGGCAAATAATTTGAATTTAGGGAATCGAGATTTTTTGGGTAAAGATTGATACAATTTGAATAATTAAATAAATAGTCTAGAATAATAGAATTAGAATAAATAGATAGTCTAGAATGGCAAATAATTTGAATTTATAGAATCGAGATTTTTTTTGGTACAGATTGATACAATTTGAATAAATAGATAGTCNGTAAATGTCTTTGTCGGCTACGCGGCCGTTGTCTACTTAATTATGCCAGTTGCGTATTGGGGGCTCAACCTCTACAGTGCAAAGACATTTCCCATTTTCTCCTCGCATTTGTTTAACCGTAACGGTGGGACCTACGACGTGTCGTCTATCGTGAACGATAAGTTTGAGATCGACTTGCCGGCTTACGAGAAGCAGGGTCGGATAAATCTGAGCGTGTTTTTCGCGCTCACGTACGGGCTGAATTTCGCGGCTGTCATGGCCACATTAACTCATGTCGCGTTCTTTAATGGAAAGTAAGTGATCAAGTGAAGTATATATAATTTTTCTTTTTTTCTCGATTTCTCTAGCGAATTTTGCTTCGTTTTTTGCGACTTTCCTCTAATAATATTATGTTTGTGGATTTTTTTCTCGATGATGATAATAAAAACAGGGAAATTTGGGGGCGTTTTCGCGCGTCTTACAAGAGTAAAACGGACATTCACACGAGGCTGATGAGGAAATACGAAGATATACCCGGTTGGTGGTTTTACGGGATGCTTGCAATAACGTTGGTTGTGTCGCTGGCGCTTTGCATTTTCATGAGAAAGGAGGTTCAGCTTCCGTGGTGGGGCCTACTTTTCGCGGCGGCTCTTGCGTTGGCCTTTACGCTCCCCATAAGCGTTATTACAGCAACTACCAATCAGGTATATATCCTTTTATTATTGAACTCTTCGAAAACAACTCTGGAAAGCTGATTTTATTATTAATCGAACTTCATTTTTGTGGTTAAAACAGACACCGGGACTTAACGTAATCACGGAATACATAATGGGAGTGATATATCCCGGGAGGCCGATTGCCAACGTTTGCTTCAAAACCTACGGATACATAAGCATGAGCCAAGCCATTGGGTTTCTCAACGATTTCAAGCTCGGCCATTACATGAAGATCCCACCTAGATCCATGTTCATAGTTCAGGTTATAACACATTTGTTTTTTCTTTTATTTTTTTAATATATATATTTCACAAACGAAGATTAATTAATCGACATTATACATGTATAACAACAGCTGGTGGGGACTATTATAGCGGGGTCAATAAACGTTTGCGTAGCATGGTACCTTTTGACGAGCGTGGCCAACATCTGCCAAGACCAGCTGCTGCCCGCAAACAGCCCGTGGACCTGCCCGAGTGACCGGGTTTTCTACGATGCGTCAGTTATATGGGGGCTTGTGGGGCCCAAGAGGATTTTCGGGGTGCTCGGGAATTACGGAGCCCTCAACTGGTGTTTCCTTATCGGGGCATTGGGCCCAGTTGTGGTGTGGGGTTTCCACAAGTTGTTCCCGAGCCAGGGATGGATAAAGCTGATCAACATACCCGTTTTGCTCGGGGCCACGGCTATGATGCCACCGGCCTCGTCGGTCAACTACAACAGCTGGATAGTTGTGGGGACGATTTTCAACCTATTTGTGTACCGATACAGAAAGGGTTGGTGGCAGAGGTACAACTATGTTCTGTCGGCAGCGCTTGATGCGGGGCTGGCTTTCATGGGGGTATTGTTGTACTTTAGCTTGGGGATGGAGGAAAAAGGGGTCTCGTGGTGGGGTTCGGCTGGGGAGCATTGTGACTTGGCGGCGTGCCCGACTGCAAGGGGAGTGGCGGTTGATGGCTGTCCGGTTTTCTAGTCGAGTGGATTTGATTCCATTAGTTGATTAGGGGTTTTATTTCTTTTATTAGCTACATATGTTTGTCTTATTTTTTTGCATACCTTATATTATACAACGTTACTTATATGACTTGTTGTCTTATATTATAATAATAATTTCTTTAATTAATCATATCATAAATATTTTTATGGATAAATTTAATTAATGAATGATTTTAATATTTTTACTTAAGATTAATAGATATTTTAAAACGATCTGTATCAATTGATTCAATCAACAATCAACTACTCACTAAGTGTCAAACGATGCAATTGATTCGATTGATGACCAACATTAAAGTAACTAGAGGTTTGCCTCGTCAAAACCTTTTAATTTTACCATTCGATTGATAACCAATATTAAAGTAAATAGAGATTTGCCTAGTCAAAACCTTTAATTTTACCATTTGTCAAGTAGTGATTTAAATTAGTTTTTTCGAATCTAAAAAGTTGATATAAAAAATGCTCATAACTTTTTGAAATAAAATTTTGCTATTTTAGAAATTGTTAATACAAAAAATTATTTATCAAATATTTTCTCATGTCAACCTGTACAATTCACTAGTTTAAAATTGAAATGACTAATTTTAATATGCTAATTAAATCAGATATGCGTCAACCAAAAAATTTTTAGAAGAGGATGTATTATTTTGTGATTTTGAGTGTCATTCTAAAATTCGAGATCTTTTTAGATTTTGAGTCAAATTTTAATTTGTTTTTAAATTCGAGATTTTTAAGATACGTAGATTTAAGTGTAATCCTTGTAATCTAATGATTTGGATAGAATTTTGTTTGAAATTTCATAAATGTATTTGGTCTTTGAAATACCATAAAATTATTAAATAAATTGAATAATTTGTTTGAAATTTCATAAATGTATTTGGTCTTTGAAATACCATAAAATTATTAAATAAATTGAATAACTCTTGATTTTTTTAAACTTTTTAAAATTTTAAATGATTATTACATCCCAATATTTCAAGTTCTCCACAATTTCAGCTGGAGATGCTGCAATACACACACAATTTAACCCGTCAAGGCCGTCGGATATGTCGGCTGCCGTCATCACATCGCCATTGCTTCACTCTCAGCCTCGTGCCGCTTATCGGAAAAACTTTTCTCCTTTGCCCACTGTAAAATTCGAGCTGATGAGCTGCACAAGACGCGTTTCTGACGATACAAATGAACATTACTTCAGCAGAAAGTCGCTAAAGTACTGGGACAAGTTCTATAGGAGTCACCAAGACAAGGTTAATTTTTGTTTTTATGTTCACTTGCTTTAGCTAATAGCATTATTACCAGCCCTTTCATATCCGCCAAAGGGCTTTTGTGATAATCGGTATTGTGTTGAATTTCAGCCGTTTGAAGGTTCCATGTTTTTCCTTGTTGCAGTTTTTTAAGGACAGACATTATTTGAAGAAGGATTGGGCAAAATATCTTTCTGATGATGATGATAACTGTGCAATATCTGCAAATGGGAAAGTGCTTTTAGAGGCAAAGATTCAATTTTTATTTGGTTCTTTACACAATTGCCATTATATTAATTACAGAATGGCTGGTTACTGCTTACAGGGAGTGATGTTTGAAGGCAGTGTCGATTAGTCAATAATGGCAGTGCTTTCAATTACGCTGTGTGTTGATATGCAAATTGATTTTTTTTTTTTCAAATGACAGGTTGGTTTTGGAGCAGGGAATACTATCTTCCCTCTTAGTGCTGCATATCCTAAACTTTTTATTCATGCATGTGACTTTTCATCAGAGGCTTTAGCTCTTGTTAAGGTTTGTTCGCTGTTCTTACTACGTTACAAGATTGAAAGATTTTCGCATGTGTACCCAAATTGTTAATTATGCCGCTGTTTGAGTTGAGGATAGTTGTGTTAATTTCATTCATTTATATTTCTTGTTTGGGTGCAATGTGGATTTGTGTAAATTTATTCAAATCCGTTACATTTAAAAGCGCCTTTTTTTTTTCTCAATCCTGATGTAATAAAGAATAAAAAGTGTAAATTTCTGAAATATGTTCAGTGTGTTTTATATGAGTGACATGTTTTATTTTATTATTATTATTTTTTTGTGAGTGTATGTGTGATGTGTACTGACTGTGTGTACTGGTGTGTTTGTGCATGTAAAATGTTGCAGTGTGTGTGTGTATCTGAAATGTGTGTTGTGAGTGAAAGAGAGGAGAGTGACTGTAGCTGTGTGTATAAGATTTTGAAGGATTAAATTCAAATGACTAGGTTTTAGGATATATTTCAAATCCCTTCAAAATGAGCTAAAACTAAGGAGAATTTTGAAGAATTTCTTAGGGGATTGTATCCATATGAAATTCTCAGACTTGATAAAACTTTACAAATTACCCGACATTCAATTTTAGCAAAAAATGAGGGTGTATTTGACTTGGATTTCAAATCGTTCTCCTCAAATCGTCAAATCATGTGGAGCCTAAGAGTTCAAGTGCATATTATGCCCCATTCAACTTATTCTACTCTCATATTGGCAATTTATCTGTGTATATAACTTCTGTAAGGGTGATTGCAGTCACATTCCAGTTTCAATGGGAATCGGTTAAATGTATTTATGTGTGATGTCACGAGTGAGGAGTTATGCGACAAAATTCCGCCATCTTCTGTTGATGTTGTTACATTGGTAAGAGAAATTCCCATGATGAGAAGTGGACTTTGAAATTATTCTTATTATGCATTACTTGATATGCTTCCAGAATAATATTTGTCACTATCTTAGATTATTTTATTTCCGATGCTTTTCATTTGCAGATTTTCATGTTATCTGCAGTTTCTCCAAATAAGATGCCTTTGGTGATACAAAACCTAAAAAAAGTACTAAAGGTTGCATGCTTTAAGCAACGGCATTATCTTGTATTTTAAATTTACCATACAGTTTTTCCAATGTTCACTAGCTGATCTCATGTTATGTCACAGTCAAATGGTCACGTTCTATTCCGAGATTACGCTGTTGGAGATTTCGCTCAAGTAAGTTCCTTGTATTTATTGTTGGATTCTCAACTATTGTATAATACCTGCAAGAAAATAAATCGATTTCCTTTCGTAAAACAGAATTAAGAATAAGCTGACACTTCATTACCATAATGGTTACTCAATATATCAATAAATATAGAAGATTAATGTAAAACTTTTGAGATCATACACTTCCTTAAGAAAATAAATCAATTTCCTTTTCAGAATCATAATTAATAGCTAAAATTTTTAATCAGGTGAAGCTGAACAACAAAAATCAGAGTATCAGTGACAATTTCTATTATAGAGGGGATGGTACTGTAAGTATCAAATACGGCCGTGCTTGTTGGGGTAATTTTTCGTGTTATTAAATTATGATGATTTATTGGTTATTTTTCAGTGTTCATATTATTTCTCTGAAGATTTCTTATCAAATTTGTTTGCGGAAGCTGGATTTAAGACTGTTGACATGAATACATATTGCAGACAAGTCGAAAATCGCCTCCGAAATATGACATTTGAACGGTAAATTACTTCAACTTTAATCATTACATTTTATCTCATATACATTCACAAACTCAATATTAGTCCATTCTTCCACCCAATCAATTTTTTCGACTCTGTAAATCACTTTATCCAACAACAACAACAACAACAACATACCCAGTATATTCCCAACAGGTTGGGATCTGGGGGGTCAATTGTACGCAGACCTTACCCTTGTAATTATACAAGGAGGCTGTTTCCGTAGCGACCCAAGGTGCATTGCGCCGTTTGATATATTTTTTTTTTCTTGAAACTTCACTAATAGAAGAAGCACTAGAATTTAATTGAGCCATTTTTATCTAGTCCATTATTAGCACTATGCCAGGAGAATTGTCAACAAATGAAAAATTCCCAAAATAATCTATATCCATTCACACGCACCGTATGGATTCTTAAATATTACATTTTATCTGTCTAGTTATTTTCACTTGGTAAATGACAAGGCTGGAGCATGGTCTTACGGAATTTTTCTGTCTACTTTCCTCATCTCTTATTTTATAATTATTTGTTATTTATGAACTTGTTTATGATTAATTAATCTGATCCATATGGTAAGGCGTTGGATACGTGCTGTTTTCAACAAGATTGGCCAATAGATACTACATACCGGGGACAAGTTTACCAGCTTACTTCTATTTGCATTGTTACAAAACATTGGTATAAGCTATGAGGTACCAGCACTTTTCGTGTCATTATTTTTTTTCAAGAGCTTTATTTTCTGAAGCTCCTGTATTCTACAAGTGATAATCAAATAGGCCTAATTGCAGGGTGATTTTAGGCATGGCATTAGCGGATGTAAGCAAGCTTTAGGAATACTCTATTGGCTGCTGAAAATGCTCAAATCAGATTAGTGTTTTCCATTTTGAAGTTTTCCTTTTTCTTTCCATTTTTTTTTTTTTTTTTTTTTTTCTTCATTTTCAGATTTTAATGGACCTTATTTGATGTTTTTAACTTGATCTGGTCATCTTTCAATTGAATATAGGAGGTGCATATTTAATTTACACAATCTAATGTATCAGCTAAGCAGCCGGTTTTCAGTTTCTGATCCTCTTTTCTTTTCTTTTCTTTTCTTTTTTATTTGTATTTGCAGAACTCAGGAAAGATTCCTGGTGTCGGCCTAATTCATGCACCAATATCCTTGCTGCCTACACCGTTTCCTGAAAGTCACTGGAAACAAGCTTGCGAAGTAGCTCCAATATTCAACGAACTGGTTGATCGTGTGAGCTTGAATTCAGAATTCCTGCAGGAATCCCTCTCGAGGTTAGTAGGCTCGAATTTTCTTTTTATCTAGACATTTTTGTTTTCTGTGTATATTATATTCATCCGTTGGTCTTACGAGTGACTACAGATGCATTTACAATTTGCATCCATGGATCGTTAAGTATTCTGATCTAATATCTCTATGGATTTGATATTTTTATCAAGTTAACTGACTAACTGATACACTCTGCTCATGTTAATATTTTGTTGTTAGGTTTGTACTCCCTCTTAGCCATTGTTAAAAATCCACTTTGCCTTGATGTGTGGTCATAGATGAGAGTTGAAATAACTATAGTTTCATGTGCCTTTATTGTCCTCAAAAGCAGTGGTTACTGCTTATTGTCGTCATTGAATTTGAGAGACTGGTTTTTGCATAAAGATTTCATTTTAGTTTAACAGTCTTACTTGTAGACATATCAGAAAGAAGTATGAAATTTCTGTGGTGCATTAATTTTGTTCCCTAACGTTTACTGTGCAGAACCAAAAGGGTTGATGCTTTTACAGCTAGACTCCTAGATATTCATGCCAAGATTCTAGATATGAACAAGAGAGAGGTATTTCTTTCACGTTTATTCTCTTAGCTTCAAAGCATATGTGTTTAGTCTGTACATTTAGGATGTAAACTATTATTTTATTTTATTCCTGTTGATTATGTATCTG